AGAGAGAGAGAGAGAGAGAGAGAGAGAGAGAGAGAGAGAGAGAGAGATCATAAGGATGCTGTGGTGATTGATTTGTCTTTGGCTGGGAGGTTGGAGGCTAACTTCCAGTTCTGATTTGGCCCTACCTTTTGTGAAACCTTGGACAAGTCACTATCTACCCAGAATCAATCTCCTCCTCTAAAAATGAGAGTTGAGAGTCTCTTTGGGAGCTTCTGGGAGTCCCCAGCAAACTCTGAGTCAGGGGCACTTTGGGGGAACAGACTGTGAGGGAAGTGACTACCACTTTGACCAATGAAGACACGTGTTTTGGTTCTCAGCTAGAGACAGGCAAAGACACTGTGTGGCCAGAGCTCATCCTACAGCCCTGAGGGTGGGTGAACCTCAGCTGGATGCTAGGGGACCACTCTGAACATCACAGCAGGGAGCAGCTGGGTCCTCAGCGCTCAGAAGCAAACAGGAGAACAGCCTTTCACCCTCCAGCCCTGAAGCGGAGAAGCAGAGTATTGCAGGCTTCAGTTGGCAGGGCAAAGTGTTGGCCCTACACACTTGAAACTCCCCAGATGGAGAGGCTGAGCCTCAGCCTCCGATCTCCTTCCTTTGCATCTTCTGCCTCCCCACAGAGATCTGAAGATGGTGGGGTGGTGACGAGGAAGAGGAGGGGTGGCTCCATTTAGTAAATGCAGAGCCCTCATCCCCACTACACACGTAACACATTCTAGTTTCCATCATCCACCAGGTCACTATTTGTACCCCCATTTTGCAGGTTGGGAAGCTGAGGCTCAAAGAACCTCAGTGTCCAGTCCAAAGTTATAAGCTAATGAGTCTTCTATATGGTTCCAGGACTCCTCTCTCTCTCTCTCTCTCTCTCTCGGCAACAAGCATGATTTCTAAAGAGCGGGCCCTACTCAGACCCTTTTTGATGACAATCAGAGAAAACGTTTCCTTCTCTTGAACTGCATCTCCAAGTGTAGGGTTAGAGTGAGTTCTATCTCCTTTAGGAAACGCTCACTGCCTTTGCTCATCCTCACTGATCCTCTGTCTATGGCTCAAACTCATAGCTGACTCTTCCCTTGACTGAGATCTGCCTCCCTACGCACCTGGTAGCTTCCTGGGGGCCAGAACGGGTCTTATTCCTTCCCAGGGTTCTCAATATAATGACATAAATGGTGTGGGCAGAGAGATAGCAGAGCCCTGTGGATGGAGAAGAGGCTATAGCAAGATTTCAGCAGAGGTCAAGAAGGACTTCAGGGTGGTGTTGAGCCTCTATTAGTAGAACAGAGAAAATGACAAGGACTATGGAGTCTGTGTCCTGAATCAGCTGCAGAGCTCTGGTGAAAGCCAGCCCTTGCCGTATTCAGAAGTGGGCCTGTTAGGTTCTTTGGCTCTTAGGGTCCCTGCAGGCCACTGGCTACAGAACTCATGAGACGCTGAGTCTGGCCAGCAGGGCTTTAGGTCAAGGAATTTTGCTGATATTCTGTAGGACAGAGAAAGGTGTACTCAGAGGGAAGTCCAAGCATCCTGGTTGAGAAGGTCAAGTTCTGGGTGGAGCCTCCAACCTAGATAGACGTGGGTCATAGTCCATCTTCCTACTAACTCTACGTCAGTTCCCCTAGCTTCTTTCTCTATACAGTGGGCTAGAGAGGCCGTTTAATCCAGGCAGGTCTGTGAAAAATGCCAGGAATGGAGCACATACATGTAGCGTGAACACTGTAACTCCGATTCTCTTGGACACACCCAGCATGTGAGCTTTGCTCCCTGGGCCTTGGACTCGGCAGCCAGGACCTTGGCACGGCAGGGAGGGCTTGGTCCTTCTACGTATGAGTGAAAGAAGCAGCCACAATCACAGGGTAACAGAGGTGGGACATTGAGTCCCCGGGCTCTGGCGGGATGCCATTTTGTCACCATAGCAAGACTTCTGAGGAGTTTTGCTGTCCATATTTTCAGAGAAGGAAGACAGCCTTGGAGGCAAGGGGTTGGGTCTTGAAGTTATTTCTGTAGGCAATAACAGCCTGGGACTCAGCTTGTATATCACAGTTCTGAGCCAGTCCTAGGGAGTCCTTCAGATCACGGCTCCAAGTGCTTTATGAGAAAGGCAGAAAGCCTCGATAGCGAGGCTTATCCATGCTCCTCCCCCAGGACTGCGGCAGGACCTGAACCTTGAATGCTGGATAGCGCCACACAGGAAGTCCCGCCTTCCCTGCCAGAGCCGGTGGGGGCTCACTGTCCATCATCTGAGGAAAGCCTCTTCCATATCAGTTCTCACTGTGGTATTTTGGGGTGTCCTGTGGGCTGACTCCCTTTCCCCGCCAGCATGGGCAAGAGAGACCTTCATCCTTGGGGTCCTGGGTCCCTGGGACTGTGACCCCATCTTTGCTCAGGCACTCCCCAGCACAGCTGCCCAATTGGCTGTTGATCGAGTCAACCGGGATGCTTCCCTGCTGTTGGGCTCACATCTGGATTTCAAGGTCATCCCCACAGGCTGCGATACCCCCCATGCCCTGGCCACATTCGTGGCCCACAAGAACACGGTGGCTGCTTTTGTGGGCCCTGTCAATCCTGGATACTGCCCAGCAGCAGCTCTGCTGGCCCAAGGCTGGGGCAAGTCCCTCTTCTCCTGGGCCTGTGGAGCTCCAGAGGGAGGAGGTGAGCTGGTGTCCACTCTGCCTTCTGCTGTCCATGTGCTGCTGTCTGTCATGCGGTACTTCGGATGGGCCCGCTTGGCCATCGTGTCCTCTCACCAGGACATCTGGTTAGCTACAGCCCAGCAGCTGGCCACAGCTTTCAGGGCCCATGGGCTGTCCATTGGACTGGTGACCTCTTTGGGACCTGGAGAGAAGAAGGCCACGGAGGTTTGCAAACAACTCCACCGTGTGCATGGTCTGAAAAGTAAGTATGCCTGGGTCCACCCTGCTGTAGGCAGCCTGGATGTCACATGGCCACAAGGGGGCCCTGTCTACCAGCTCGGCTGAGCATTTGTCAAGTCTCCATCCTTGCTGAAGGCTTCCTCTGGCAGCACAGAGCAAGTGAGGAGCTTGTCCCAGTAATCTGGCAGATCTTCAGGATCATAAACTCTGGTCTAAATGTGGGTTGTGAAGTTCAGGGCATTCTTGGTGGTTGTCTTTGAAATGAAAATTTCAGGAGTGTAACAAAGATCTAATCATGGCTTAAAGAAAAAGAGAGGAAGAAAGGGAGGGAGGAAGGGAGGGAGGAAGGGAGAATAAAAAGAATAGAATTGAGAATGAAATAAAATAGAACAGTGTATGTGACTGTGTGTGTACGTGTGTGTGTGTGTCTATGTGTGTATCTGTATGTGTGTGTTATGTATGCGTGTGTGGTATGAGTGTGTGCATGTGTATATGATTGTGTTTGGTGTATGTGAGTGCGTGTGGATGCATATGTGTGTATGTATGTGTGTATCTGTATTTGTGTGGTGTGTGTATGTGAGTGCATGTGGATGCATATGTGTGTGTGTGTATCTGTATGTGTGTGTTATGTATGCATGTGTGGTATATATGTGTGTATATATGTGTGTATATATATGCGTGTGTGTGTATATATGATTGTGTTTGGTATATGTGTATGGTGTGTGTATGTGAGTGCGTGTGTATGCATATGTGTGTATGTATGTGTGTATCTGTATTTGTGTGTGTGTGTGTGTGTGTGTGTGTAGCTCTCAGAGCTGCTTTCATTGTATCCCACAGGTTCTGATCTGCTGTGTTTTCATTTTCATTTGATTCTAGAAATTTAAAAGTTCACCCTCCAATTCTTTGACGACGATTCATTCATTATTCAGGACTGTGCCGTTCAGTCTCCAGTTTGCACAAGTTCTCTCACTATTGATTTATGGTTTCAGTGTATGTATGATGTGAGTGTGTGGATGCCCATGCTATGGTACACAGCTGTGTTCTGGGGACTGAGCACAGGCTGTCAGATCTGTAACATGTGTGGCAAGCATCTTTACCCACTATCCTCTTCTTCCAGTGTTTCTTTGTATGGAATCCCCTTCCATATAAGTGCTGACTTACTCCATTTGCTGTTTGTGTCCTCTTTAGTTCACGCAGTAATTTCTTTGCAGCCTCTTTGATTTTGGGATTTTTTTTCACCTCAGTCATAATCACTACGGGGTCAGACTGAGGTCAACTCCAACTCATACCGGGAAGGTTTAGGAGCTGGGATTAGGGACTGGGGCTAGAAGTGCAACCACAGATTTGGAGAGCTCCGAGGACCTCGGGATTTGGGTTTCTGGCAAGTGCTGAAGTGCGAAGGTGACCCTGTCCTGTTCACCCCCAGTTGTGGTGCTGTGCATGCACTCGGCGCTGCTGGGGGGCCTGGAGCAGAGCACGCTGCTGCGCCGCGCGTGGGAGGAGGGCCTGGCAGACGGGAGACTCGTCTTCCTGCCCTACGACACTCTGCTCTTTGCCCTGCCCTACCGCAACCGCTCCTACCTGGCTCTGGGTGACCGTGGACCATTGCAGGAGGCTTACGACGCGGTACTCACTATCAGTCTGGAGTTCGGTCCGGAGAATCACGCCTTCACTGCTCCCAAGATGAGTCGAGGGGCTCCTCCACTGGAGACAGAGCAGGTGGGTGTGTCGGTTCGCTGCAGCCTGGAAGATGGGACCCTGGGCCAGAATATGGGCACATTCTAGCCATTACAGACCTCTGCCTGGGCTAGGGACCCACTGGGCTAGCCAGCCCCACCCCATTGTGGCCACATGACCTCTGCCTGCCTGCCTGCCTAGCCCGCAGGTGTTGGCTTGTGCTCGCCCCCATCTTCCTGCCTGCTATGTAACTTCCAGGGACGGTGTACTCAGTTTCCATAACTTTAGTTTCCGTTCGCTCTTTCTCTTGGGGCACCACACTTCTCTTCCCTCACATCTCTCTAGCGGGCTGTGGAGACTAAAAGAAGGTGTTGGGAGTGAATTTTTCTAGGTCACCACTGTGAATCTGAAAAGGACTAGTGGTGGTGGTGGGGTGACTACCAGCAAGGTTTTGGCTTATAGGACTCAGCTGAACCAGTGCCTGCTTCTAATGACGGAAAATAGACTGACTTGAGGTGGTAACAGGGATGCAGGAGCTGATGGAGGTTGTTCATCTTCTAAAGATGAGAACTGAGTCTTTCATGTGCCACCATGCCAGGTGACAGGGGGCTGGTAATAAAAAAAAGACAAGGTTCATTCTACTGGGGAACTGAGTCTTTCATGTGCCACCATGTCAGGTGACGGGGACCTGGTATTAAAAAAAGACAAAGTTCATTCTACTGGGGGACGTAAACCAAAACCAGGAAACAAGATAAACAAATCCAAACAGTGATGGTTCTGCCAAGAAGGTAGACGAGGACCGAAGGATGGAGAGAGGTTGGAATAGAGGAAGGGACACTGGGGACAGGATGGACCAGAAAGACCTCTATGAGGAGAGGACTCTTGAGCGGAGCCCTGAGGGATTGGGAAACGTTTAGACGAGGACCTGAACAGTGAGGTAGAAACTGCTAAAGCCAAGGGTTTTGCCTTTGGAAGGTTTGAGATGCCTACAATACTTCTGAGGTAGAGGAAGAAGCGTAGTGGTGGCAGTCATGGAAGCAGTGAGGTTGTTCAGTGGGGCTGGGGTGATGTGTGTCCAGAGAGACTGTTTAGGGGAGAGGGGTGCCGTCTAAACAATCCCACAGGCCTGTGAGCTGTCCAAGGTGGTAGGATGAAGACTCTCTTCCACAGGTGTCCCCACTCTTCGGAACGATCTACGATGCTGTCCTCCTGTTGGCCTATGCCCTGAACCGCACTGAGAACCATGGAGCAGGGCTCTCAGGGGCTCACTTAGGGGACCACATAAGAACTCTCGATGTGGCTGGTTTTAGCCAGAGAATCCAGATGGATGGGAAAGGCAGAAGGCTAGCCCAATATGTCATCTTGGACACAGACGGTGAAGGAAGCCAGTTGGTTCCCACCCACATCCTGGACACAAGCACATGGCAGGTGCAGCCTCTGGGAAAGGCTATACACTTTCCTGGAGGGAGCCCTCCAGTCCGTGATGCCAGCTGCTGGTTTGAACCCAACACACTATGCATAAGAGGTAATTCACTGTTCACCCACTAATCTCTCATCTGTCCATCCATCCATATACCTATCCCTCCATCCATCTATCTACTCATCCATCTGTCCATCCATCCACATACCAACCCATCTATCCATCCATCCACCCACATACCAATTCATCCATCATCCAATCACCCATCCATCATCCATCATCATCCACCCATCCATCATCCATCCATCATCCACCCATCCATCCATCATCCACCCATCCATCCATCCATCCATCCACCATCCATCCATCCATCCATCA